TTAAACTATTCCGTATAGCATTTTGTATATTAATAAATTAATGTCTTGTATATTAATAAATAATATACAAAATGCTGTACGGAATAGTTTAATTCTCTATTTATCATATATTATTATATATCATATATTGAAACATGCATGTTATATGCAGTTTTTCTGAAACATTTCTTCATTTGTTCCTTATTATTATACTTTAAATATAACCACATTAGCAAATGGACACTTGTTATAATTGAAGTTCTGAAGAACTGTACATACCATATTGTCCACCGTTTCAATCCTCTATTTCTTTTTCACTGGTTCATTATCAGAACTACTATTTAATATTACAATACTTTGAGTATCACAATTAGATGTTTTTAGAATGTTAGGTTCAATATTTTCTATAGATGATTCACTATTTAATGATTCTTTATCAAGAGGGATTATTGCATCAAATATCTCTTGTGGCGAAAGAGCAAGTGTCAGAGATGGAGTCGCAGAAGGCATCGAAACTGAAGCTACAGAAATGTGAGAAGAGGTTTCTGTTTCTTTGTCTGAATCATAATTAGAAAAATAATTTTGTAGTGCAATTCTTGCACCTATTGATGGTATAACATCACTTAATTCTGAACATCGATTAATAACCATGTATTTTAGAGTATCATACTTAATATCATTATCTAAAAATTGGAATTAATCAGATGATAATATAATAAGTATAAGACAAAAATAAAATATTGCATACTTACTTATTAGACTGTCACTCCAGCGCTCTAAATGCAACAATTTTAACACTTCTGCAACTTTATCTTCCATAGTGAAATACAATACAATTAAAAACAAGCACGAGAAATAATTTATTGCTTTACTCAGCACACTACGCACGTGCTTGTGCATGCACACCGCAGCCATATTGGTATGCATATCATAGAGTGAAAACCTTTAATTCAAAGAAATAAAAATTTGTTTCTAAGAAATAAATATCATTTCTAGAAATAAATATTATTTGTCTATACAAATCAATCTTATTGTAAGTAGTTATACTATGGGGGTTCTAACCCAGTGGCAATGAGGGGGTGCGGGTGAAGAGGGGAAGAGGGGTAGTCAGATAACAGTGGAGGGGGTAATGACGTCATCGTTTTGGAGGAGAGGGGGTAATTTAGGAGTGGTGGGGGGTATCAGATAACAATATT